GTCTAGGTACACGCCTCTCTGTAAGAGGAGGGCCGGGTGATGAGACGTGTGGGAGCCTGCCCCCGGCCTCCCTGACGGGAGTGAAACCTTACCTGCCCTCACCCTCCTCGTCCCCGTCTCCGGGGTGGTGTGACCCCACATGCCCCGGAATCCGAGTACTCGATTCTGTCCCGTCTCTGTCCACCTCTCCGTCCACGGCTGCTCCAGAGAGGAGACTCCGTTCCCCTTTCCCCAGTTCTGGCCTCTGCCTCTGTCCCCGGCTGACCAGACGTGTCATGTAGGGCACCCCCTCACCTGTGACCAGCAGCAGGAGGGTGTCGCTGAGCGGGGACGTCCTGTGGGGGAACGCCTGAGTGTAGTACTCGCAGCTGTACTCCCCGGCATGACAGGTGTCTACATGGGCGAGCTGGAACGCAGCCAGGCCCTCCGGGACCTCCGACGACGGGGAGAACTGAGACACTTTCTCTCCCTTTCTGAGAACAAATTTGACTTCTCTGGTCGGAGCCTGGCACTGCAGGGTCACGTTGCTCCCGGCGGGGACCACGGAGCTGGGCCAGGCGCTGAGGGAGGGCCTGGGCAGTGAGCCTGGGAGGAAGCAGAGCCCAGGGCTGGGTGGACCACACCCCACTGCAGCCCATCCCAGGAAGCCCGTGAGAGAAGGGGAAGGGGGAGGCGGGCGGTAGGGGTGAAGGGCCGGGAGGTCTGGCTGAAGACACTCACCATCTCTGCTTATGTCTTTTTGGCCGACGCACAGCCCTGCAAGGAAACCTCCGTGAGATTCAGCACCACCCGGGGCCCAGCACCCTGCCCTGACCTGGGGCCCACAGCGCCCTGCCCTGACCCGGGGCCCACAGCGCCCTGCCCTGACCCGGGGCCCACAGCGCCCTGCCCTGACCGGGGGCCCACAGCACCCTGCACTGATCCTGACTTGGGGCCCACAGCGCCCTGCCCTGACTTGGGGCCCACAGCGCCCTGCCCTGACTTGGGGCCCACAGCGCCCTGCCCTGATCCGGGGCCCAGCCCAGGCCGTGCTAAGAGCAGACCTCCCTCAGCCAGCACTCCCCGCCTCCTCCCTAGAGCCCACAGGGCGCAGCACCCACTCCCAGCTTGGCTGCTGTAGTCCTCACCCCAACCCTGGTGGCTTAGCGCGACGTGTGTTCAGAGGTCAGAATCCCCAACGAGAGGACAGGGGTGACGGGTGATGGGGGTGCCAACGGGGCTGCGTTCCTTCCAAGTCTGTTTCCAGCCCCTGGTGCGGCTCTCCCTCCATCTTTGCACCCAGCACTGACTGGTGGAGGCAACCTCTCCCTCCGTCCCCTACTGCTCCGGCCCCAGATGGCCCAGGAGAGGCCCTGTTAGGGTTGGCTGTGACACCCCCAGTCCAGCTGTGAAAGCTCCCGTCGTGGGGAGGGGCCGTGGGGTTGTGATGCCCAGGGATGTCCACCTGCCCAGAGACATCCACCTGCCCGTCCTGGGCGGCCGCCCAGAGTTCCCAAAGCCTTGGGATCGTGGAAGTGCTGAGCATCCTCTCTACGCGCCCTGTGACTGGTCCCGGGAGTCCCAGGGCAGTCCCAGGGAGGGACAGCTGCCTAGGTCCGAGGGCTGGAATTGTTCAACTATTTTTGCCTAAAACAGTGGCTGTGCTTCCACACTTGGTTCCTATGGGTGGGCCGAAATCCCACGTGCAGCTGCCTTCCTGAGCTGGTGACTCGGTTACAGCCAATCACGCCAGCCGCACTTCAGTCAGCCTCGGAGGCCCGCCCTGGGGCTGTCTGCAGCCTGCCGTCCTGTCACCAACGCGCCTGTTTCTCTACCTGCCCTTCACTGTCATTCTGTGCGTCACTTTCTCTTTTTGGACGTTAAATACCAAGTCTACCACACAGCTAGCCAGAGGTGCCCAGAAGTCCGGGCACCACTGCCCAATGCAAATCGTGTTAAAATCTGCTCAATTAAAACTCTGTTAAGTTGGCTGGTTTACTTTTCTTCTTCTTTTTAAAGAATTATTTTTATTTAACTTTGCTGAATTATTTACTTATTTTAATTTTACCAGAGCAGGACAGAGTGAGAGGGAGAGAGGGGAAGTGAGAACTCAAGGCACCAGGTCTGGGACTCCAACTGTGGTCAGCCATGTGGGACTACAGCTTCCTTAACCACCCTGCTACCTGCCGGCCCCACTCCCAGCATGAGTTTTTTAAGTTGCTGAGTCTGAGACTCAAACTGGTCGACTCCACGGGAGTCCAGCGACGTAACCATCTTGCCATCTGCTGGTCCTAGCTGTGGATAACTATTATTTTCAATTCTGCAGAGAGAGAAATAGAGAGAAGCCATGGGGTCTGGGATTCGAACTGCACGTCAGCCACGTGGGGCCTGGCTCCCTTAACCTCCAGGCCAGGGGCAGCCCTGGATGACCCCGTCTTGAATGCTCTGGTGCTGTGACTCTCTTGGGAGTGCTGACCCTTTGCCTCGCAGCACTGCTGTGACTGACAGGCAGCTAACGCCCAGGGACATGCCTCAGCAGGGGATGTGCCCCTCTGGGCTCCGGAGCTCCCCTCCCCCCACTCCAACCCCGGGAGCTGAGAGAACCCGTCCTCAGAGGTTCTAGACACCGGCTCCGCCTGTCGTCCAAGACGTCTCTCTGCGGCTCCTCTTCAGGATTCTCCCTTAATAAGACAGGTCGGACAGGACAACCCCTGAACTCATCACTGACCAGAGCTGTCTGAGGGTTAGGGTTAGGGTTAGGGTTAGGGTAGGTTAGGGTTACGGTTGGACCTTGCAGGGATTAGGGTTAGGGTTAGGTTAGGTTAGGGTTAGGTTAAGGTTAGGTTTAGGGTTTAAGGTTAGGGTTAGGGTAGGTTAGGTTAAGGTTAGGGTTAGGGTTAAGGTTAGGTTAGGGTTAGGTTAAGGTTATAGTCAGGGTTAGGTTAGGGTTAGGATTAGGTTAAGGTTAGCATTAAGGTTTAGGGTTTGAGTAGGGTTAGGGCTAGGGTTTGGGTTAGGTTAAGGTTAGCGTTAGGGTTTAGGGTTTGTGTAGGTCAGGGTTAGGGTTAGGTTAAGGGTTAGGGTTAGGGTTAGGGTTAAGGTAGGTTAGGGTTAGGGTTAGGGTAGGTTAGGGTTAGGGGTTAGGGTTTGGGTAGGTTAGGGTTAGGGTTTAGGGTTAGGGTAGGTTAGGGTTAGGGTTAGGGTTAGGGT